TATTGTATAATAAGTTTATTAGATTTTTGTTTTGTTAATGTAGGAAAGCCATAATTTTCCTTGTCAAATATCGGAATTATTCGTCATGGTAGTCAAAACAATTAACAATTGCTAGATAAAGCAAGTTTATTCTTAAACATATATTTTCAAAAGAAGGTATGTTTCTTTACATCGTACATTATAATAATAGTTATATTCTTGTATCTATATGTAAATTTCTTTTTAATCATGAAAGTAATCTCTGTCTAGATATTTTTTACGTCCAAAGGATGAAGTAGGAGTAATATTAATGGGATCAGATAACAGTAGAAGCAACAGTGTCATAGAATTTGACAATATACAAGATTTATGTTCCATGCAAGTTGGAAACTGGAATTTGATAGAAAACATTGAGAAATTACAAACCACAAATCAGCATTGTTCTTGGATGGAAGCAATTTATGCTGCGGTTGAATATATTAACCATGAATGCTTGTAAGTATATCTAATAATATAAAATATTGATTGTTCGTAAATATATATCAAATTTATTGTTTGTAAATACATATCAAATTTATTTTTTTTATTTCAGAGACAATCTGAAAAGAAAATAATCCTGCTGTCTGATTTCAATGAAGAAGAAGATGTTGTAAATCAGTTCAAAATGAAAGATATTGCAAAGACATTAAGTTCAGAGGATATTTCACTCATAGCAATGTACGTACATTAAATTAATTTTCTGATTTTGTAGCCGATTATTCTTAACAGTTAATAACAATCAGAAATTAAAATTAAAAATGTATGATATATTGCAGCGGAGAAAGAGCACTGGATATATAGATGAAGATTCTCAAACAGCCAGTGAAGCATTACTTATAAATGTTTTGCAAGAGGTAATTCAAGCAAATATACATAACACAATCTTGTATGAGATAAATAATATTTAATATAATATATAACATTTTGTAGATTAATGGTCAATATCTCACTTTTGAACATGCTATGGCAGATGTACGCTTTTATAAACGGCCATCGACTAAACCGATGCCATGGTGCTGTCACATGGAATTAGGCGATTTTCACATACCGATTGCTGGAATTTCTAAAGTAAAATCAACTTTATACATAAAATAATTAATCACAAAAATACACACATACATATATGTATTATAAAATATTTTTTATATATAATATATATATATATATATACATATATATATATATATAAAATTCATATTTATATTACAAGATGCCAACAGAAGTAAAGTTACCAAAAATGATACTGATGGAAAGACAAGTACATCCGATAATCCGGATCAGGAAGTACCGATTAAGAATGTCGCACAATGGACGGATAATAATAGGACTATTCATACACAAGAGGATATTATCCGTGGTTATGTGTACGGTGGCAAGTCTATTCCGGTTTCGGGTAATTTAAATTTTAATTTGTAGTATATTTTGCTCTTTTAATATAGATTTAAATGATTGATGAATATGACGATTGTAGATGAAGCTAAGAAGGGAATGACTCCCAAAACTAATGAAAAATGTTATAAGATACATGGTTTTTCCGCAAGAGAAAGCATTCGTATGGAATATTGGTTATCAGATGGCTCATATGTTATTGTACCTGCTAATGAGGTATAGATGGCAAAATTATTTCTGTCATTACATGTAATTATCATAAAATATCACTGATGTAATAATTTAAAAAATTAATAAAAAATTCTTTACAGTCGGTAAGTGCACCATTTTACAGTCTGGTGCAAGCCATGGTTGAAGAGAATGTAGTCGCTATAGTGGAGAAGGTCCACAGGGCAAACACTGAAGCAAACATGGTTGCATTATTTCCGAGCGTTGATGTACCAAATGAACCTTGGGTGAGAAATCTTTTCAGTGTCTTTTATTTTTTACTATTGCTATTTACTTTTGAATTATCAAGTAATAACATATTTCTTACAGTGTCTTATTGAGATCGGCTTGCCATTCGAGCGAGATTATGGTGCGATAGCACAGAGACCCTTGAATTTTGTGAAAAAGCAATTATCAAAGGAACAAGACAATGCTATCGACGACTTGTTAACTTCTTTAGAATTACCTGATGCGTAAATATATATTAAATATATATTTAAATTAAATACATATATTAAAATATATTCATTACATATACAGTTTGAGTTAAATATTTTATTTTATTAATATTTTATTTATATAGTTTAAATTAAATATATATTAAAATTAATAAATATGTATTTAATACATTTAATGTATTCAAATTATATATAATTTTATATATAATTATAATTTTAAATTATATATATATATACATATACACATATATATATATATATAAATCATAAAGTAATACTATTGAATTTTTCACAGTGTTGACGATGACGCAATTGATGTTAGCGAAAAATATTTACCGGGATATATGCCAGATCCTGGAGCGCAACATATGTGGGATATGCTATCAGCTCGTGCGCTAAATCCAGACAAGCCATTGCCACCTATTGCCGACGATGTAAAAAATCTTGTAGAGCAACCCGACTTTCTGAAAGAAAAATGTGGACCGGTTACAGAAAAGATAAAAAAATTGTTCTCCTTAGAAAAGAAGCAACCTCTTAATATTAGGAAGTGAGTATTCTTGATCAAAATTAAAATTTATACTCTGAATTCAATACGAGTTCAGCATGAATTATTGATAAATGTACATTTTACTTTCAGGCGTAAAAGCTCAAACGAAAGAGATAATGAACGATCTAATAACAGTGACGTAATAATACCAAAATCAGTTAAAACAGATGAAAAAAATATTTCAAAAGAAAATAATGATGAACCGAAGAATATGATTTCTTCTAATGAATGCAATTTTAACTTTGATGAAATTGTGAGTATATAAACTTTCATTTATATTTAATTGCAATTTTTAAATACATGCATATATATAGTCGAGTTTTATAAAATTATAAATATTATTACAGGGTGATATGTAAGAAACTGGCAGTATGTAATCTATATATGGTATTTGCATTTTTATAATTTATGCTTTTTTAATTGCGGCGTGGAAAACTTAGAGAGAGAAAGAGAGAGAAGCATAGTTTTATATTGAATTTAATTAAAATTTATTTTTTTAAATGAAAATGTATACATGCGTATATGAATATATAATATATGTAATATATTTAATGAGAAATGTATACAATTAATTTTTCCAGAATAGTAATTTTTAATTTTCGTTATATCTTGAGAGTGCCAAAAGTAACGATGACGTTATCATCGAATAAGGGAAACATGAAGACGCTTGTGCCCACATAACGCCCACCTTGTTCTCCTCAATTTACCAAAAATTTATTGATCTTAAACACTATTCCCTATATTTAAGGAATAATCGAATATGATTTACATATAAATTTAACATATATAAGATAGGCAATTATGATTTACATATTTATAAATATTATATATGTGTGTGTGTGTGTGTGTGTGTGTGTGTGTGTGTGTGTGTGTGTGTGTGTGTGCGTGCGTGCGTGCGTGCGTGTGTGTGTGTGTGTGTGTGAAATTGCAATTTTATTCGAGAAAATTAAATATTAACTAATTAATGTGTATAGTATATTTGCAGATAGGCTTTTGCAATGTACCGCCTTCATTCATTTAACTTTTCAATTATTCCATTGATTCGATTCACGAGGATAATGATTCGACGATTAATTCTATATTTATAAAAGGAAAGAGACGGTCAGTTGCTTGTGAAACGCGCTATTTCTCGTCAACGACTTTCACATTTGAGATACTCTATACTCAGCGATGGATCAAGGTATGTTAAGGCCCTAAACGTAACATTATCTGATATATTGTATAATATCGCCACATATACATTCAGATATTTTTATCTCACATTGAAAAATATCTTATTTTTAAATTATATACTCTATAACAAATTAGATATTTTTATCAACAAATTATAGATACTCTTATTAAAAATCTTAATAATTTGTACATTTAATAATGACAATAAATATTTTAAATTTTAAATTGTTACAATAATAATAGTATGAAATAATTCAAAATTTAATTAAAATATATATCAAAATATTTATATTTATTTATTATGATATTTCATTAATGATATATTCTTTTTGCTAGGTCTCCCTTCCTTTTATGCACAAGGCCCCGGATGTGGATCCATAGCGTACTATCCAACAAACGGTCCTCGAGCAGAGAGGACGCGGTGATTCAGTCGACGAGAAGACGTTGCGTCGTGAAGATCAACAGGTGCGAACGAACGTTCATCGTCGGAGAACAACCATGGGTAAGTCGAAGGAGACCTGGTTGACTCAGCTGATTTCTTTTGGACACCTACGCAATTCACATCCTAACGAAAGCTGATGGAATATTGGATAACAGGACATTACGACCCACGACGCGCTGTGCTGGAATTTTTTACTCATCTGTCGTGAAGAACCATCCTAGATTCTTCCTCGAGCACGCGTATGTGCATGTATGCCGTCATCATGTAAATTTTAACACTTTTCTTTGCGCTCGAATAATTTCACAACAATCCATTTTCATATATCAAATACATTAAAAATACATAAAGATGTTCAAGAGGAGATTTTGATTTTTTACAAATATTTGATTATCTTTTGAATATTTTTTTTCTAATATTATACATTTATATTTTCTGATTTAGGGTATAAATATCTGAAAAAAAATTATCGAACGATATCAATAACTTTCTCTCTTGGATACTAAAATACAGAAAAATGTAAAATTATTCGAAGTATAAGTCTTTATATTAAACATATAATTATATTTTATTTAATATATGTATATATAAAGATACTTATACTTTAGATATTGTATATTTTTTATACGATATTCTTGGATAATTAAATTTTGAATTATTACATATATTGTAACAATCAAACTTTTTAAAATATTTATTACTATTAAATATATAATAATTATTATTATTAAATATATATTTATTAATATATCCAGGAGAGGAAGTCAAAATGTGGCTCGGGGTAATTTCTCTTTGAGATATACATATACAATAATATCAGAATACAGAAAAAATACCTATCATACTTTATATTAATATTAAATAATGTAGTTTTTAGATGCTTCTAATCAATATTAATCTTTAATATCTTTATTTAATATTCATTACTTTGCTAAACATCTGAAATTAACAATGTGCACAGACGATAAAAAATATGACAAACTTGAAACATTTTATATGCAATTTAAATTATGCATCTCGAGCGCAACGAAAGTGAAAAGTAATTTAATGAAACTTTCTGCAAAATCAAGTCAAGCATGAGGAAATTGAAATATACCGGAAAAAAATAAGAAATTCTGGGCCATTAAATTTAAATTATACAACTATTACAATCTATTTTGCTCCGTAAAATATCACGGATAAATCTCTCGTGATAAAAATGTCACGTTCGAATGCATCCCAATGTACGTTCGCAACATTTTGCAATCATGTGTATTTCATTTATCAAAATATCAGCAATATTTCTTTTTCGAATGAATGCTTATTGAAATAAGCAATATTTCTTTTTTTTAGAAATACGAGAATAATAAGCCTGCATTTTCTGACCCGTAAAGAGATTTATCTGACGATTCGGCGATGTGTGACGCGAAATTTATTTCAATGCACCGACCTGCAACTGACCAGGACACGCTGCATACACATATGCATGCTATTGCGTAAATAACGGGGAAAGTCTTGTAGAGCCACGTTAATGTCAAAAAGCCGAGACGCTTCGATTAATTTTGGGTCAGCGTGAAATAAGAGAAACCTTTCGTGACGCTTCGGAGTAGACTCCTGGCCGTTGACCATGAAAAAAAAACACGTGCAAACGCGCGATGCGAGAAGATATGCTCGAGACGGTAAACACTGACCTAGAAGTGAAAAGTGTGTGGAAACGCGCGTATGTTAATTGGCTTGCGAGAGGAAAAAAATAATGTACGTCACTCTTATCGAGGCTCGTAATCGTGTAATTATGCGACTAGAAGAAAAATTATCTAAATCTAGATCTTAATTAATGGAAATCTGAAGGTGATTGTAAATGAGGAGTTTTTTGCGAAAAGATGTAAGAATATCTCAGAAATAAGTTGCTTAATAAGGATGAATTATAAAATTATAAAATTCTCATTCAACTATTTGAACAATTTGCCAATCAAAAAAAAATAAAAGAAATGATCGAATAATATATTTATTTAAAAATATAAATTAACGAATACAAAAAATGAAATCTTTATAAAGGAATTGTATACTTATTGTTAACACTATGTTCTTACATTTTTGCAATATACTTTGTTTTTTTAATGACAATGAATCGTAAGGTTTTACTTACGCAAACTCCGATCACTGTCTGCTCAATATTCCGGATCCTTTCTCTATATCTTTTTCCCTTTTTTTATTGGTGCACTATGTTGTGTAACTATAATTTTTCCACGTTGACTCACCTTTTTATTTTATTTGTTCGCAGGGAACATTTACGTCTGCAGCCTGCTCGTCGTATTCGCGGTAAGTAGCCGGACTTTCATTCGTTGCGAGACGCATGCACTTCTGAATGCATTTTCTTCAGCTTCCCGGAAGTCGATCGTTTTCTCCGCAAACGCACACATGTCATTAACGTGGGAGTTTTCTGTGCAGAAAGCTGAAACGTCAACGATTCGTTGGATAGGGAATCCGTGGTTAATTAGTCAAAATTGCACACATAAATAACGCTTACTAATTCTCGAAATAAGTGCGAGAAACTTCCTCTAGCGTAAAATTAAAACACATTCCTCTCCTTTCCATTGCAGCTAATTTTTAAACATATATAATAATTGCAACCATTTATCATTTTACACAGCGTCTCGTAAATAACATTGTAATGTTATAATTTTCCAAATTACACATCAAAAAAGGAAGTCTCGTCAGTCGTATACGATAATATTAAAAAGAAATTTTACTCATATTTATATTTTCAGGCGCTTCTCGTCGCGGTGCAATGCGGCGATATAATGCGCAAGAGCATCGTCTTCGACAAGAATACTCCGGATGTGTTTTACTGTCCGCAACACAAACCGATCGGTTTCGAGAAGATGCTGGTCAAGGCGAGACCGCTCTCTAGGCTTTGCCAGTTTGAAGGTCGCCCGATACCAGAAGATTACAAGAGTGATTGCTATAACGACGTGGACGAAACTGAGTACGCCTGCAAGGAGAAGTATAGAATTATGGTACGTGTTACATTTATATATTTCCCCGCAAAATCGCTGGATAAATTCACCGTTTGTATGATTTAAAGATACTAACACCGAGAACATATTATTAAAGATATCATTTAGAGAGAAATATTCCAAGTTTATACAAGATATATTATAAAAAAGATTATTGCTCACCCCTGTTAAAAGTTTGCAAATTTATTTGATTTTTAATTAAATTGAAGTGTTATTAATTGCTTATATAGAATAAAACGCTTTAAGAGCTTGCACATGGCAATCAAGATTAATTATTAATAAGAAAATTAATCATGCTTAAGGAAAAAATAATTTGCTCGACCCGTGTCATCATTGTAACATCGTCGCATGTAACGAATTTGGTGTCGGTTTTTTCTCGTTACAGAAGCGATTCAGTAATCCGGATGGGGATGCAAAAGCCATTGACAACGACTACGACGAGAAATAGAAAAACGATGAGAATGATGTTGCACGACCGCGATCCACGCAAATCATTAAACTCAAATAAAATAAAAGCCACATTACTAATGTTCGGGGCTGCTGCATCATCGAGAGAAAGGACAGCTTTCAACATTTATTATAAAATAAACTTAATTTAGCAATAAATTTACATATAGTATAAAATAATATTTACCACGACATAGATAAATTCATTGTTGTTGTGTAAATCGATTATCCATTTCTTTATATTATATAATAATTAATATATATTATTTGTATTACATTTTTTGTTGTACACATATATGCTTCTAACGAGTATATCAATAATCAATAAATTATGCCACATGTAATACTCAAAATGAAGAAGTGGATAATAAAGAAATAATTAATATGTGAGCGAAATAAATGTATCACAAAAATGACGAAAAACTATTCTAATTATAAATTTTTCTAGAAATTTATAAAAAATGATAAAGTCAATGTTCTACATTTGTCAGCTTTTTTAAAGGAGGAATTAAAATTTGTATAACATATTAATAAAACTAATCGCATATAATGGATGAACTGGGCAAATTAATTTTTATAACATTAATAAAATTAACCACACAATGGATTAATTCTCTGATGAAAGTTAGTTAAAATATAGTTGTTTTCAAACATCTGAATTTAATTGTCAGTTATGTTTAGTGAAGCCATATTACAGAATTTATTCTGCAAGGTGATTTAATCGTAAAAATTATTCTAAAAGGAATTGATCGCATCTGACAATTCATAATAAAATCTATAAAAAAAAAAAGATCAGAATAATCTCGTTATAATGGAAATCAAAGTTGTACAATTTTTCCGAATCTCCGAAAAAAATTGTTAATTATTTCCATGTCGTACGAAAATCACATATAAGTAAATAAAATATTTGCTAAATAGACATTGTGCTCTCTCTCTCTCTCTCTCTCTCTCTCTCTCTCTCTCTCTCTGTTATATTCATTGTTTTTTGTCTCAATATCAAGGAATGCATCGAAATAAGAATACGTGATGCATAATTCTAAATTATCATTCCACATCAATTATTTCTGCTAATATACATATATTATATTGTGATTAATGAACGACCTTTGTTTTAGACGAGACTTCATCCACCGGGTAGCGACACGCCTTATAACGGGACACGCCTATTCAAGTTCTTAGCCTTCAATAAAGATTTACCGTATGCGCAAAAGAATAAGGTGTAGAGAACAGCGGCCGTACCGTTTCAAGGACGATAAAATGTTAATGAATGTGATTAAAAATATTAGCGCCGGAACATTTGCTGCATTATAAATTTTAATGTTTATATATTATTTATATATTATATATATATATATTTTGTTTTTACTTATTCATGAGATGCTTTTATTGTATTTAATAATTTTAACAAGTTTTACTAATAAAACTATATATATATATATGTGTGCTATTACGTATAAACATATTTTTTATTCAAGTGAGAAAACAAAATTGAAAATAAATTATTTTATAAAAACTATCAAAGTATTTGACTATAATCTTAATTATGTATAATGGGTGCGTTCCGTTATGCACTGCAAGTACTGACAGTACTACCAATAGCGTTCCGATATAGATAGCAGTGCACTGCGAAAGTACTATCATGAGTATATGACGTCATTAATTTTGACGTTATTTCCTGTTGCGATTACTGCAACCGGCGAGGTAAAGCACTCGCAGTAATCAAGATGGCTACCTCCATGTGTACGATGGAACTAACTTTTAAATTCCATATCTGAATATAATGATACAATATTTTTAACGTAATTTTTACATTTTATTCTAGGTATTTTAATTTGTCGTCTCATTTCATTTATTAATTCCATTTCCAAATCGCTTTCACTTGATGACTCACTCGAATATATATATTCTCGATTAAATTATATGTAATTAATGCAATAATGGTATTATCCATTTCACCAATTTTTCACTCGATGATTATTAGCGAAAAAGGTTAGTTAAAAGTCTGCTGAAAGCGTACTGTAGTGCGTTCCGTTTTACTATTTTGCAGTAGCTTCAAAGTGCACAAAATTAAAAAGGAACGCTGTCAACAGTACACTTGCATGACGTCATAGTGCCAGTACTTGCAGTGCATAACGGAACGCACCCAATGATAAAAGCACGAAATGGCGGGAAAGCAAGAGGCTACGCATGCGTATCAATCCAAGCACTTTTAGGGCGGATTCACACTGCATGCGATAGCGAACGTGCGATTCAATATCCAATAGAAGACCTTGTTTTCTAGTAATTTTTATTTGTAATCTCAGGATCTAGAAATGGAAGGTTCTTATTAAAAGAGAGAGAGAGTGTGTTGTGTGTGTGAGTATAGTTGTTATAGATCACGTAAGATCACAGATTAATAGACAGATAGCCAAAGGCCTGCCTAAAGCATAGATTAATAGACAGATTGCCAAGGCCTGCCTAAAAAAAGACTGCCATATTCGTGCGATAGACTTTGCCTCTGGTTCGAGTCCGTGCTAAATTTCGTAGACTTGAAAAAAACTGCCCTGTCGCCGGTCTCTCCTTCATCCAGACTTTTGGCGCGTGTCTATTAATCTGTGGTAAGATAAAGTAATCAATTTTTAAACTATGTAGATAACTCAAGCACACGCTTTGCGCACGCCAAAGAAACTTTTTCTTCGAAAGGGTACATATTTTAATTTGCTGAATTTCAATTATGTACATAACTTTAATTCTCGAATTTCTATTATATACATAATTTTAATTCGATGAATTTTTCACGAAGAGAGGTGCTATGCTATATTTGATTGGTTGAACGAGGTTTTAAGACGATCTTAAATATAAGAACGGATTATGATAATTAGTATCTAATATATTCACAGATTAATAGACAGATCGCCAAAGGCCTGCCTAAAGAAGAGACCGCCATCTTCGTGCGATAGACTTTGCCCCTTACCGACACACTTTGCCCCTGTTCGAGTCCGTGCTAAATTCGTAGACTTGAACCAAAAGACTTTGCCCCTGGTTCGAGTCCGTGCTAAATTTCGTAGACTCGACCAAAAGACTTTGCCCCTGGTGCAAGTCCAGGCTAAATTCGTTTGACATTACCAACAGACTTTGCCCCTGGTGCGAATCCAGGCTAATTGATCATGAGACCAATTTGAGAGATTTGGCCCCCGTTATGTGTGTGTGTGTGTGTGTGTGTGTGTGTGAGAGAGAGAGAGAGAATATTTTACATATATGCATATATATATAAAATTATTAAATATAAAAAATATTTTTTTACACATAAAATGTTTTTTTTATTGAAATAATCACGATTTTATAATGTGATATATACACAGTGTTCAAAAATTTTTTAATTAATTTTTTAATTAAATTTTATTAAAGAAAATTACTTGAAATTTTTTGCATTAAGAATTTAAAGGCTCCTTATTCTCTTGTAGAAATTTCGGATCACTACGCCAATTAATCACTTATTTTGAGTATTTAAAATACTATAATATACAGTAATTTAACTATTCGAAATATAAAGTCATTAATTACTCGAAATAATTGATCAAATTGGCGTTACTAGTAATAAATTTCTATAAGGGTTGAAATAAAGTATAAGAGATAAATAGGCTATATGTGAGCATTTATGCGAAATGTGAGATGTAAGGTTAATATTTATTTATTTTTTATTTATAACATCATAAAATGTACGCGACGCTACAAAAGATTATCTCGTACATTTGGACGAGTTCATGAGGATTAATTCTCAATTCTATTAATTAAATTTCGATATAACACACCTTACATCCGCGCACGGCTCACATATATATCAGCGCCATTATGGTAGTGTCAATGCAGTAAGTTCCTTATTTTTCAAAGATGAGCGTCTCATGTCATGAAATCGTCCGGCGCATGTACGAGATTTTATTTTTTACGTTACCGCGTTTCTTATCCAAAGGAAAATCTTTTATGATGTTATAAAAAATAAATAAATAAAATTTAACCTGACCTATTATAATTATTATTATTAAATGTTTCATTATTATTATATCTAAGTCTAAGTCAATTATCGTTATTTATTTCACATTAATTTATTATAATCATTTTAATATGTGAAAAATACTAAAAATACGTTTTATAATGAATTAATATATTTCGAGAGTCGAATTATATATTTTTAATAATATAAAAGTGTTCAAAAATTATATTTGACTTTTAATTTTAATTATTTTAGCAAAGAGTTCCGAAATCTCTTCAAACATAATAGGGTTTTGTTCATCCATAATAATTTTAAGTAATATGTTAAAAATTTTAATAAAATAAAATTAAATTAATAGTAATATAAATTTTGAACATAAATATATTTAATTCGTTATAAAACGTATACCCGTGATAGTATTTTTCTCGTACAAAAATAATTAGAACAAATTAAATTACTCATAAAAAATTAAAAAATAATTAAATAATTTATATTATATATGATAATAATAAAACACATAAAAAAACAGAATCAATAAATATAATATATAATAACATTGTACTTATATTTATTGAATCTTTTTAATAAAATGTTTTATAAGCTTAGAAAACTTGACTTTGACGTAACTAGCAAATTTTATTTAATTATTTCACGACGGTTTGAAATAAAATGTATTATTATTATAAAAATATATTTAATTAAGGGGTTATACCTACCTGCAAGGTCTGAAAACATATTTTTGGGAATTTTTTTTTTAAATATGAAGTGCTTTGGAAAGGAACATAATTTTCAAATAATATATTTCAAAGATTATTAGTGGAATTTTTATTGCAAAATGTTGATAAATAAAAAAGATAATTATTTAGAAGCAGTTTTTTGAAAAGCGTTTTGCGGTGACCACTCTAACTTTGAACTGGTTTACCAGAAATCAAAAAACCCGAGAAATTTAGTTAATATATAAGATTATCTAGTGCCCGATCGTTCATTTTTTTGAAAAATTAATTTGCGACAAAATGGCGGCTGTTCAAATTTGAAGGTATGATTTTGCTACCAAAAATTCGCTCGTTTTTTTATTATTAAAAAAAAATACGCAACGAAAAAACAAAAGCCACGATCGGGCACTAGATTTTTAGTATTAAAGATGTCTACCAAATTTTATTTCAATCGATGCAGCGGTTTTCGAGATATTTTGGTCACCGATTTTAAAAATGCTGTTTTGAGAAAAACGCATTTGAAGTTTCAAATTAAGTTCACAACCAAATAATATATTATATATATATTTATATATATTTATATATATTATTTATTTATATATATTTTGGCTTTGTATAGAGACCGCTTTTGTCCGCGTCGCAGCTGCCGTTCGATACCTGAGACCCGTTTCTGTACCCTGCTTCTAAACAGCAGGATACGTTCACACCAGTATACCTTTAAACTCACATAACTTCGTTAATTTTTGTCGAATCGACTTGAAATTTGCAGGGAATATTTTTGAAAGTATGTACTTTAAGAAAATATCAAAATCCAAAAATCGATTTTTTTGAAGTTTGCAGGTAGGTATAACCCCTTAATTAATTTTTAATCTTTTATGATTAATTTAATTTACTCTAATTATTTTTGTACGAGAAAAATACTATCATGGGTATACGTTTTATAATTAATTTAATATATTTGTGTTTAAAAATTATATTTGACCTTTAATTTTAATTTTTATTTTATTAAAATTAATAATTAACATATATACTTAATTGCGAATTATATGGATGAAAAAATCCCCATTATGTGTGTAAGAGATTTCGGAACTCTTTGCTATAAAATAATTAAAATTAAAAGTCAAATATAATTTTTGAACACTTTTATATTATTAAGAATATATAATTCGGTTCCCGAAATATATTAATTCATTATAAAACGTATACGTGATATTATTTTTCTCATATAAAAATGACTAGAATAAATTAAATTAATTATTAAAAAACTAAAAAGTAATTAAACGACTTAGACTTAGATGATAATAATAATGAAATATTTTATTAAAAAAAGATTCAATAACTAGTAGGTCAGGTTATAATTTTTATTTATTTATTTATAACATTATGAGCTATTAAGCTCATCATCTCGTTCGCTCTCTGTCTTGCTTTCATTCGGCAAGTCACAAACGATATATGATACTCGTATGTTCCTACTTCAACTCTCGAGAATCTGAAACAAACGAAACTCGTGTCCAATATACAGGGTGTCCGGTAACTAACAGACCAATGATTACAAATGGATTCTTTGGTCAATTTGGGAACGATTTTTCCTCAGCGAAAATGTCGAAAAAGGTCATCATTTTTTACA